TTCTTAAATGTATAACAAAATTTGGAATTTTCAAAATGCTAAGGCTCTGCCAATTTTCAGTTTAAGAAAAAACCAGCTGATTGTTGTGTAATCTTACTGGTTCTAGGACAAAACTAGGATTTTTATATTTTTTTAATGAATTTTTATCCAGTTTATGTTAACAAGATGCTCCAGAGACCTATTAATACTAATTTCAATATAATTAATTTTTATACATTATATATGTCCACAAGGACCTGTATGCATCAATTTACAACACATTGTAATCCAAGAAAGAAAAATTTCATCAGTTAACAAAACTATAAATTAATAAAATTTTCAAATTAAACATTTCAGTGATCTATATAAAAACAAAACAAAAAATGTACGCATATATTACCCAAACTTTCAACTATATTGCAAAAGCTATTTCTAATCTAGATGACACCAAAGACCCATTTGAGGCAGGAGATCTAGTAGAGGTAAGAGAGATTGTAGAGTATAAAGAGAAGAAAACAGAATATAAGAGACCAAGAGCTAAAGCTATTTCATCAGGGAAGTATGCTATAAATAAGGGGGAAAAGGTTCCAGACTGGAGAAGGTGCATTATTCCAAGATACAATGAACTAAAGAACCGAAATTTAAATCCAGAGAGCAAGTATTATACCACCGATAGAATCAATAATTTTATAAAGGAAATAGAAGAAATCGAATCTGAATGAAATCATTATCAGTAAAGCATATTTGTTTTACGTTATATTTTTTTTAAGTCTTAATCATAATTTTTGAATAGAACTTTTTATTTTATTATATATATCTCAACAAGATTTTATAAAAAAAAATGGAACACTATTCAAAAGAATACATTGAATGTAAGGATATATATGTAAAGGTGGTATCTAAATTATTGAAAGACATAATACATACCACAAAGAATGAACATAATGATCCAAATCATAGATTTGCTAAATATCCAACAAGATTTGAGTATCATCTACGCAATTTAGAAATATCTCATGTTCCAGAAATACATATGATACATTTAGCTCATAGAAAGTTTCCATTTCCACATATATAAACCTTTAGTAAACAGGAGGACTTTGATCTGATGTGTTGGAGTATAAAAAGAAAGTATCATCCAAAAGTTGCTACAAAGATTATCAAACTATATACAATTTATAGAGAATTAGCAAAAAAAGCAATCAAAGGTGTACACTATTAATTGATTCTAAATCAATAAGTCTGCTTAATTATTAATCCAACTTTTTTTTACGTCCTCTTTTACCAGGAGTTTTAGGCTGAGGTTACTACATTTTTTGATATACCCTTAGCCTTTTTAGTAATTTGTCCATTCTCAATCTCAAATGCATACATCTTGGCTCTGAGACCTATAAATTCCCACATTGGCATTCCACAACATTCATCTTTGAATTTACCTATAACTGCTTTATTTTCCTCATTGTATAAAGGATGAGTATTAGGATAATTACTAAAATCAAATAATTCCGAATTCTTAGCCATATCAGTATAGATATCTTCAGTCTCTATCTCATATACAAGAGAATCTGTATCAGTATATAAAAGACTTGCTTTTCCATCATATTCTACCTTAACATAATCATACCAATATTGATACATCCAGAGCTTGCTGAGATCTAATACAGCTGATCCTACATACATTGGCTTATTAAGTACTACTTTTTCCTTACCTAGATGTACCGCACATAAGTTATCATTAAAAGCTCTGAAATCTTTGCATCTAGGTTTGGATAAATTCTTAATTACAGCACATTCTGATTGCCAGTCATCTTTGAGCTTTATTAACTTTATGTCAGTATAATTTTGAATATTTTCCATAGTCTTTCCATATACTGAATTATTCATGAATTTAAAGAAGTCTTTTTCAAACTCATTCTTAGCATTTTTTCTCATATCAGTATTACAGTTAATAAATGGTGCAAGCCAGGGAGATTGATCGAATTCTAATACCATATGAATCTTAGTAATTTCAATACCCATTTTTACATAATATTGTAGTGTCCTGTAATGGACTGCATATTCCTTTTTATCCATAAGGTTTGGGCATAGCTTCTTACCTTTTACAAAAGCACATTCTTTTACTTCTTTTTCTTTACCAGTTTTTGGATCTATTATTTTGATTTTTTTATTAATTATTTCATTTTGCTTTTTTGATAACATATCCCTTGTAATTTCGATATTTTCTGGAGCTAGTGGGTAGTCATTATGTAGATCATCTAGCTCTTTAGGATATTTTAAGTCTACAACAAATGTATATCCCTTTGGACTGTTTTCTGGGATACTCATAATATCTGGAGCAGTATTTGGATTAATCCACTTGAAACCACCACTTGGGAGATATTGAGACATTGCCCATCCATATAAATTATTTGTGTCTACATACATTAAGTATTTTTTTGGACGATTTTTATCATATCCTGAGCATTTTGGGTTATTTGCTTTACCGTATCTTTTTGAAACCATAGATACACCACCACGTTTTTGACTTTCTGTAACATCATGCATAAGAGCATCTGTAAATAAGTCTAACTCAATATTGGTGTATTTTAACATAGCATCCCAAGCAAAAGATGGTGTTGAAATATAGTATGCTGGATCTATTTCATAGTATTCCATTGCAGTATCTCTGAATGTTTCAAACACATCACAGAGTTGCATTACATCTGCTTTGAGATAAATATCATGATAATCCCCAAATGTTTTACATCCAAATTTTTCCCATACTAGATTGGCATGTTTATAGTCTTCTGGTGTTATAGTACCACTAAGAGTACTATGAAAGTATTCTATTGAGGGAAGTTCTTTTGCATTAAATTTTCCGGGTTTACCCCAATTGACCGACAGACATTATACTGACAGCCATTATACTGACGCTGTTATACTGACAGGACATTATACCGACAAGACGTTATACTGACAGGACATTATACCAACAAGTCATTTTCTAATATATTCTATCAATTTAGCATAATACAGCCAACCCCTCTAAGTGCACCCTCTCTAAATGCACTCACTATGTAAACCCTCTCTAAATGCATGCCATGTCTCATTCACAAACTTATAGTGAGCTTATAAAATTATCCCCTCTAAATGCACACCCTCTCTAAATGCACGTTCATGAGAAGTAATAATATGTTCCCAAGGAGGGTGCACTTAGAGGGGTTGACTGTATTTCTTTGTTTTCCTACCATATCAGTTCATTATCATTACCCATTAATATTAAGAAATGGCATATATAATATATATTAATATATCTGATGATGTTAGCTGATTAGTCAGCTAAGCTGTTCAAGTCTGTTAAACCATTTATTAGACGGCTAGGCTGTTTAAGTGGTTAAGCCATTTATTAGACAGCTAGATTGATTAATTGCACTATGAAATGACTTGTTGGTATAATGTCCTGTTGGTATAATGTCCTGTTGGTATAATGTCTTGTCGGTATAACATCTTGTCGGTAAAACATCCTGTTGGTATAACAGCTGTTGGTATAATGTCTGTCAGTCGATTGGGCGGGACCCAAATTTTCCAGATGAATCAACCCAATCATATGGATATACTCCCTTTCTTAGTAATAATGTTACTTTATCAGTATCTCCTATAAGTTTATTGAGAGTCTTGAAAGCTTCAGGTCTTCACATACATTGGTTTTTATCAATTCTAAATTTATGTTCTTTACATTCATTATTATTGCATGGTACTGCTCCTAAGTTTTCTACTAATTTTTGAAGTCCAGTATTCATAAATTGGATACTATCTATGAACTTGAACTTGCCTATAGTCATTGATTTATATTTTTCGATATTTTCTGCTATTACCAATATTTGATCGCTACTAGCCTTACCTGCTGATTGACATACTAAGTGAGAATCATATCCTCTGAAGTTATGGAATATAACCAGGATTTGTTCTTTTATTGGATTTATTTTTAGATGTAGATTACATCCTGAATGTGCCGCTCCTCAGTATTTTCCTGAGATATGATCATGATCCCATACTTTTGAATTTTTAGTTGCTTCTTGAATCATTGACATTGTGGTATCCATAGCTTTTTTTCTTTTCTTAATATCAGTAATCTTTTGTGCCATTGATTTCAATCTGTTTCCTTCTGCAAGATTTTCCTTGGAATCCTTTCATGCATATCCAACATTTATCCGCCTTTTCAAAATTGATCATTGATTTTTCATATTCTTTGTATTCTGGTTTGTCTTTAAGGTTTCTGATGTCTGTTGTCTGCAAGCTTATCTTTAATATTTTCATATTGATTTTCTAGTTCCTTAATAAAATGTTCTGTAGGGTTTTCTCCTCTATAAGGATAATCATTTGACCATACTTCCCCATTGCTCCATTTTATTATAATATGGTAGCTGTTAGGAACATTCTCAGTTAATTTTTTAATCTGTCCTCTATATACTTCTCCATCTGGACATTTATTGTTATATGATTCAAAATCCAAATATATTATGCAAGGGCTCTCATCATATGCTTCCATTTTTTGAAATGTAATTTATTATTATCTTTTTCTGGAAGCTCTGTAAATTGAGGTGCATCTAAATGAGCATAACAATACTTTTGATGCCTTCTAAGTACTATTTCTGATGAGAAGTATTGCCCACATATGGTACATAATTTCTTCTTTCTATTATCCTTAGTATTGCTAAATATAAGCTTACTTGGATTCTTAACCCATAAATAATGTGTTTTTTCCTTTCCACCTATAGACTCTTCATTGAGAACTAGAAGATTAACCTCATGTTTTCTTGTAAAATTTTTCGAAATTATAAGAGGTTGCATGCCTGCTTTATCATCCCAGTCATTTACATTGAAATAGTATTCTTGGTTTAACTTTTCAAGCTTTTCAAAAACGTTTTTGCTTACTGGGACTGGCTTTCCATCTAGTATATCGCCAAAGTTAACATGATCTTTACATGGTTTTAAAACTGATAATCTTTCCAAATGTTCTAACTTACCTTCTGAAATTCTATGTGAGTTAAAAGCTGATATGGCATGTTTGAGACATTCATTATCTTTTGTTTTACTATTATTAGGATTTATAGTTCCCTTTATATTAGCAAGCTTTTCAGGAGTCTTTATATAGCTTCCTCCTCTGACAATTTTATATTGAGCTATCTGAACATCAATATATACTCCTTTATTAAATTTAAATCCAGATGCATTCTGAATGAAAGTATCAATTCCCCGGCATATTTCATCATATGATTTAGATATAAGTTCACCATTAATATCACTTTCAATCAAGATGTAATCCATTGTAGTTTTGAATGTGAAGTCTTCTAGATGTTTTTTCATATATATAATGCCATCTTCATCTGCTTCTGCAACTGTCTTCTCCATAGTTACTTGTAATAAGATTGAAAATCGAATTCTTTTTTTCTTTGATTGCTCTAATCTTAAAACATTCTTGATTTTCTCTCGGACACTTTCAAGAAGTAATAATTCATCTTTATTTACTTCGTTATCTTCTGGTACTATTCCCCTATGAATAGTGATTATATTTCTTTGCATCATCCATTCAGTTATCTTCATCTCTCTGAATATTATTTCTTTTTCTAGAACGTTTGTAGGCCTTTTCTTTTCAGTCTTCTCAGTCTTCTTTTGGACTCTAGCCTCTTCTCTTCTTTGTGCTCAACTGCTTGATTCAGCAGGAGACTCTGGAACTATTTCCTTCTCCTTACCTTTCCTTGAAGGGATAGATTGTTTGATAATATCAATGGGCTTTTTGAAAGATTTTAATACTTCTCCCAAACCAATGCATGTTGGTTGCCCAATAAATGGTCTCCCACTATGTCTCTTACGAATTTCTTCTATGATAGGGGATTGGATTTCTGGTTGAGCCAGTGCTTGCTCTGGAAATCTATTGTCAACACCACTGAGCTTTTCTCAGATTCCACTGATGATTGAACCAATGTGTGTAAATATACCAGACATCTTTTTTTTGAAAATTTATCTTATAAATTTAAATGTTTAAATCGAAAATTTTATATGAGATTCAAAAATATGGTCTCTATATAAAAAAAAAGAAAAATTATAAAATCATAAAATAATTGTTTAATTTGAAAATTTTATTAATTTATAGTTTTGTTAACTGACGAAATTTTTCTTTCTTGGATTACAATGTGTTGTAAATTGATGCCTACAGGTCCTTGTGGACATATATAATGTATAAAAATTAATTATATCGAAATTAGTATTAATAGGTCTCTGGAGCATCTTGTTAACATAAACTGGATAAAAATTCGTTAAAAAAATATAAAAATCCTAGTTTTGTCCTAGAACCAGTAAGATTACACAACACTGATAGGTTTTGAAGCTTGAGTCATGAACAATAAAACTTATCGGTTAAATTTTTTAAAATGATATAGTTTTTTTTTGTTTTAGTATTTTGAAGTTGATCAATTGTTACTATAAGCAATTAATGATTATAGATGATCTGCACCGTATTAAGCCAGAGTTCAAGTAATTACGGAGATAATTTTGGGAACAATTATAATTATGACATTACAGATATGACAACAATAATTTATTAATCTACCAAGATAAAGCGAATTGAAAAAACCAAGCTATTAGCAGGCGGCTTAGGAATTCCAGACGGAACATTGGGATTTTCTGCTGGATGGCTCCAAAAATTTAAAGAATTCGTCAACAAAAGCTTTCATGGAGAAACATCTTCAGCTAATTTAGTAGTCGCTACCGATGCCTTACCACTATTGAAAAGTAAATGTGAATGCTTTTTTACTGCAACAAGAAAATTCTAAAGAACAATTGAAACAAGTTAATGCCCTTGAGCGATACATTAATGTTATTACTCAGTTGAAAGAATATACAATATGGATGAAACAGGTCTTTTTTTACAGATTAGAGCCAGACAGATCATTGGCCACACAGAGACTTTCTGGCCGTGAAAAAAAAATAAAGGCTTGTGTGCAAATGCTGATGATCTCATAAATTATAATTGGAAACCACGATGCTTTACTAATGTTAATCTTAAAAACTTATTAATGACATATCGTAATAATAAAAAGGCTTGGATGTTAACTACTATTTTTCAAGACCGACTCCAAGAATTTGATAAAGTGGTTGCTAAAAAATATAGAGACCAGCGGGGTATTATTGCTCTTTGATAATAACCCAAGCCATAAGACATATGGTTTAGTTTTTTCGAACGTTGATGTTCATTTTTTCCATCCCCAAATACCACTTCAAAAATCTAACCAATGGATGCTGGAGTTATCATAATTTGCATATTAAATGGATCCTAGATCAAGTTCAAGAAGGAAAATGATACAAAAAATTTAAAAGCGGATGTATTGCAGGATATGCTGTATTATTAAAAGTTGGAAGAAATCACACCTTCCACCATCCATAATTGTTGGAGTTATACTAAAAATATCCTGGATACCATGAATGTTGAATTATCGAGCCTCTTTAGCAAGCGCCAACATTAAATGAACTTACTCAGATGCTTACAACTCTAAACCTATCTAATCAAATGCAAATTGAAGAATTTTAAATGATCCAGAAGAAGAGTCAATTTATGAAGAACTTGTTGAAATATATAAAAAACAACCAAAATTACCTACTGATAATGAAGATGATGATAGCAAGAAAGTTCCTACATATGCACTGATTTTGTTTGAACCCCAAAATCCAGTACGGTATGAATACTTCATACTAGCAAAAACCCATTGGTTTTGAGGTGGGGTCATTGATGGATAGTAAATTAGTTTTTTTAGCGGAGCAAATAATTTTTTTTAGGGTAATTATCATTCTACCAACCAGTTTGCACATTAAAAATACTCGTGTTTAACATCGAGACACAATAAGACATAAGGTTTGAAAAAAGGCCCAAAAAAACAAATCGGCTGATATGAATGCAGTTGATTGATATATTAATTTAAAAAAAAATAAAATTCAATCAATTTTACAATAAATTTTTTATTAGTGTCACGTGTAACCAATAAAATTCTTCTCAGGGTTCATTGTATAACCATGGTTACTATGAATAAATGAATAAAATGAAATTTAGTTAATATTTTATTATTATGATCTTGGTAAAACTCCATATATCGCGGAATTTTTTTTAAAAAAAGGGTGCATGTGATACATTCGACCATTACAAATCTTGGTTAACGCCGATCATTTGAATCAAACAGTTGTTTGTCCTTTTTAAAAAAAGAATATAATAATGACGTTGTATTATGTTTTAGTTTTCGTTTTGCTTATTCTTGAGGTAATTTAACTAGTATTGATTGATATTAATATTGTATTTTCATTATTACCAAGGGAGAAAATATTAACATATCTCTCTGAATATTTAGGCAGTATCATTCGTAGTGTTAATTGTAAGTATACATTATTTTTTAATTTTTTACTACAAGTAATTAATTGTTATTAATGATTTGTTGGTTTTAACAAATTATTCTAAAAGTTACCTTTTCCTCGCAAATGGAGACGTGCAGTGTTGCGTTGGATATCAGAATCAGAATTGGCAAGCTTTATTTAATATTATTCAACATTTATTTATTTTTCTTGCAAAGAAATTTATAACTTTCGTATATTTTACTTTCTAGGTTTCAAAAACACATTTGACCTTTAAATTTGCATTTGTGTAAGGTTTTTTCTTTTTGTTTATAAAATATATATGGTATAAAGTATAGATTTATACCAAATTATTGAATACATTTATTTATTTTTAGTTTTGTTGGGATCCTATTTCTAGGTAATATAATGATAATATAACCAGAGTTATAAGATTATGGTTTTATTATTATCAATGTTTTTCACTCGTTCTATATTTTTCTTTTGATAAGATGCGTGTAATCGCAGTTTCTCTCCGCATAATACCCAAGAACATTCTGATGCAATAACTGAAGCTTCACATGCAGCAAAAAGATTCTACAATCAGCGTAATATGTAAGATATCAATAATATATACACATAATAGTTACATTGTTAAAATATATATTAACATATATATCAAATTCAATATATGTATTTCTACTAGGTATCTCACTGGATTTACACTCTTCTTAAGTTTGTAAGTATAATAAATTATAAATATTTATTGTATTGCATAATTAGATTTTGTCTAATCCTCTCTTATTATTATTAAAAATATTAAAAAAGAATTTTGAATAGAACATACATGTCAGTTTTAGATCTACTGAAAATTGAAGATCAATTAGATGCTATTAAAAAAGAGGTATTTGAAAACAAATATGTACATATTGTATACATTACATATCTCTCTTTATGGATATTTAATTAATCATGAATTTATAACTGATAGGCCGCTAATAAGGAAAACATAAATTTGAATAAAACAGATGGAGCTTTGAAAGAAGAAAATGAAAGGTTGAAAAAAGAATTGAAACAAGAGATTTTAAAATCCAAAGATCATGAGATTTTGAAAAAACAAGCTGAACAACAACATGCTGAATATGTTAGATTAACTGATAGACTAAATGAATACGAAAGGATTATAGAAAATCAATCTAACGAAAATAAAAAATCTGTCTAAAATAAAAAATAATATTTTATTATGTTTTTTTCTCGATTTACAATTAAAAACTCCATTTTTCTTTAAATAAATCATTAATTAAAATTTAAAAAAATTAGCCTGATGAATATTTTTTTTTTAAAATAATATTATTATTATAATTAATTCTTTAAAGAGATCGCCAAATAAATCTTCGCGTGTTTCCTATATACTTGTCGGAATTGCTAGACAGAAATTATTATAATAATAATACTAATACCACCGTCCGTAAATGCAGCAAAACCGCAACCATTAGATATATGGCTGCAAATTCCATGATGCCATGACAGACTATACCGTAAATAGTTTTCCTATTCCTTTTCTTCCCAAAATCAAACGATTAAATAATAACATTAAACAAAAGCATCTTGTATTAACAGTATTCAAACAAATTTAATCGACTCGCAACAAAATTCTGATTCGTTAATTTAAAATTTACATGATTATGATAGTAGCTATTTGTATTGGTCTTTGCAGTTGTGCATATGAAATTTAATGTTTTTTATCATCTAGAATTTTTTTAATTTTAAACGATTAAAATTTTCAAAATTCCACATAATATTGCTTTGGATGAAATTTCTAGAAAATTAATAATTAAAAAATTAAAAACATGATCCAGCAAATCTTTATCTTATAATATTGTTTTAAATAACAACCAGTAATCATGTTGATAAATAAATAAAATAATTTTATTTTACAAAAAAAGGAAAAAGAGTTCTTGAGACCATTTCAAGAATCAATATCAAGTGTGACATTATTCTATGTTGATTTCGAAGTGATTTTTACTGAAGATTAAATTGTTTTTGTGTTATAACGCGACTAGTAAGTTCGTTATAACGATATTTGACGGTATATAAAGTCGTGATAAGCACTAAGTCGGACAATCACTTAGCCCGAGTATAATTAATTAAATTAATCGCGCGCGATGAGACGGTTTCACGTGACACTGTTCTCACATGACTAAGTTTTAGAATTTTGATTGGTGACTGGTTTTATTACACGTGATGAATTAATTACTCATTATTATTATTATGTATTGAAAAAAGGTAAAACTATATCAGATAAACAATCGATTAATTTTTAACCTATTTTTATTATAGATTATATCCATTTCCTAAGACAAAATCTCCTTTCATTTGATAAGTTCAAAGGCTCTACAGATACTGAGAGTGATCAAGAGCATATACCAAATTGATTCATTGGAAGGATTACACCAATCATCACCAATTGCTAATAATAATAAAGTTAGTTTGAAATCAAATTGCAAATAAATAAACAAATTTTATAACAACCAAGTTCAATTAATGCTTGTAAGTCAATTTTTTTAAGTCTCTAATTATTGCTCAACTAGCAAAAGTTGTTTCTTGTGACAAAAGGCAACTAGAAAGAATATCCTTTGATGGATGTTCATATGCTGGACATAACAGAGACTATATCAAAACTCTCCATAAAATTACATGTAGCACTCCAATGCTCTTTTGAAATTCTTTTTCCCTGTTTAATACATCTATCTCATACAGTTTTCCACCAATTTTGGGGTGCATAGCTAAAGTACCATCAGTCGAAGTAATAATAGGAGATGTGTTATTAGTGAAAGAAATAGTTTCTTCTGTCATTAAAGACAATAGATATTATTTATTGTTTCATCTTCACAAAATCCAAGGCAAAGAAATTACTGGTCAGAAACTGATCACATGATTAGATGATTACGGGTATTTCGACCATTTCGGAAATTTTAATATTAATATTAATATTTAAGATAAAAAAACTTTTTTATTTAATTATTATTTTAATAAAATTTATATTGAATAATTAATTATTTATTTTTCTTTATGACAATGTCCAAATTAAAGTTTTGAACATCTGGACCATTTAATAAGACCATTAAGTGACTATTCAATATATTTTGGTTCTCAATTTATTTTTTTATCAAATTTGTTTGTGAACATGTTGCATTGGAAGTAGTGCTATTTTAACAACAATAATTGTTAAATTTGGATAATTGAAATAAAATTTTTTCGTCTGCATCCAAAAATGTGTTTCAACAATTGGATAAATACATTTCTGTATTGTGTAGGGATGCATAGAAAGTTCGTGAATTTTCTTTTAGTCTAAAATTTTTATCTCCCTCAGATTTAAAAAATGGAATTATTCTAATATAATAAAAATAAAAAAGTTGTCTGTTTATGTTCGGTTATCAATAAAAATAGAATTACGTCAATAAAAAAATCATGTTAATTATAATATAAACCAGATGCTTTCAGGTATATTTTATTTAATATTTTTTCTCTGCACAAATCTTGCCAATAGATTATTGGCTACATTTAATGTAACACAATCCGCAGAAGTTTTTAAAAATTAAAAAAAAAAATTGTGGTATTCTAAATATCATACACAATTGCCATGGACAGCATTCACAACAAAATCCCAACATAAAAGTAAATAGTTCAAGAATGAGAGACTTACAACATCAAATTAGAAAAAAAATGCTTCTTTAAAGTGTAACATGCCTTAGAAAGTCTTTTTAATAAATAATTATAATATGAATATATTATTGATATGTAATTTTTTAATGATAAACATTTAGCAACAAGTCGGTCACATGAACATGAGCCCGGCCCGCGTGACCAACCTATTGAATTTACATATTATATTTTGTTGTATTTTATATAACAAGGATGATGATGATAAAATTATTTTTATTAATTAATTAATTAATTAACCATCAGATGTTCCTGTTAAAAGAGCTAACATTGCAACAAATAAATTTATAATATCAAGATATAAATCAACTGAAGCCATAATATATTCTGTAATTAACGATAATAATTGAATCGGTTAATTAATAAGAATAACAATTATAACAATAATAATTATAATAGTAATTAATTACCTTCTGGATTCAATCTATTAAATATCATATAGGTATCGTATATTATATATGCACTGAATAATAATGCGGCCACACCACTAATAAACATATGGTAGTGTGCGTCAAAAGGAAATAACCAACCAACCATACCAGCAAATATTACAACCCATATGCCGGCATATAGAAATGGCCTCCATGAACTAAAATCAAACTTTGTTTGGAGAGTAAATAATTCCAAAGCAACGAAAACCCCAAAAGTAATCAGAAAAGATTGTAATACAACTTTTGAAGAGTATAGAGAAACTGTAGATTAAGTAAAAATATTAATATTATTTATTATTATTAATTATCAATTGTTATTATTATGATTATTTTAATTAGTAAGAAAATATCTACCAATTGATGCAACTCCGCAAGATAAACACAGTGTGAATATTATTAATAATATCATGTTAAATGGATGTCTTTTTCTTTGCCAAAATAAAATTGTTAATGTGATCAATGCTAAAATCATTGACACAAAAAATATCCATTGACTATATAAAGAAGGTAAAGGTAAAATTTTATGAATAAAAAATGAATATATGCATGAATGTATGTAAAAAATTTATGAATATGAAAATACTTACTTATCATTTATAATTGTGTGGGTTGGCTCGTGTAACATAAACCATAATGTAACACCGATAGTTGCTAATAATTGTAGTGTCAATATTCCATATACTTTTCTTACAAATGCTAATACATTAAAAAGAAGAAATAAAATTTGAAATGTATATAAATAAAAAAGACCGTGTTTATAGAATAAATCCATTATTATTTAAATAATTTGTTTACTCACCCATTCTGATATTTTTGTCAGTTTGTAAATTTGCGATGACTTCATGTCGATCATTTTCGGTCGCATCAATTCCTATTATGGTATGATCCGTTGTAGTTTCTTGTTTTTTTATGTTATTGTCCTTGTTTGTATTATTATTAATTTCTAAATCTTCATAGTTTGGTGGAGGCGAACTCCAATCTTTATGGATATCATTATCATCATTATTATTAGGAATTGGAGTTGATTCTATTGTTATTGGTAAAGATTTTTCATCTTCTAATTTTAAAGGTTGCGATGGTGAATTTGAACGTAATAAATATATATTATTACTATCGCGGATATGATCATTTAATGGATTTGGTGAAGAAGTTCTACTTATTGAACTTTGAAGTAAAGGATCATTACTACGTATAGTGCTCGTTTCGGGATTAAATAAAGTTGAATGTGATTCACGGAGAGTTAATCCATGATCATTATTACTATTATCATTACTACTACTACTACTACTGGGATTATTATTATTATTAAAATTATTAAAATTATTACTCATATTAAAAAAAAAATTGTTTTTTTAAAAGAAATTAACGAAGGAAAAATATATATATATTATTTTGATATTATATAATAAATAATGATTTGATGATTATTATATTCTATTAAATGAATAAAAAAAAATATGATGAAATGAATGAATCTAGGATGTAAATTTTTATGTATATACAAGATATATAAAAATATAAATAAATAAAAATAAAATAAATAAAATTTTTGGTTAAATATTTTGCAAAAATAAATAAGTATGTAATTAATTAAATAAATCTATAAAAAATAATTGTAATTTATTATTAGTAAATAATATAACTACAAAGTAGGAGAGGAAGGAAGAAAAACGGGGGAATAAAAGATTAAACAAATAAACGGTTTTTACATTCAGATTATTTTTTCAAAAAATTTTCTGGATTTTTATAATTTTTTTTTATAGAATACAAATGATCGTGCAATGTCGTACAAATATTTCAATACATAATACATATAAGTCAGTATTATTAGATTTATAAATAATTAATAAATTTTATTTTTAAAAAGTAAGCTTTTTTTTTTCGCACTATTTTAAAATAAACCAAAAAAATTTATAAATAAAACTAACGCAATCGTACAACAGATTAATTCGAAAAAGGAACGCTAAATTGGGAAAAGGATGAAAAGCCATGGAATTTCTATTGTTTTATTATTACTACTACTACTATTTCCAACCACTGCCAGAGTTGGCAATCAGACTGTCTAACGTGGGTTTTTTTGGTAATTTGGATATTAATTAACACAGCCAATTGCATTTCTAATTTACCTTTTTTAGTAATTTGGGCCCAACACCTAATCGAGAATATATTTATTATAATGATATTGTATCTTTGGGAAGTTCAATTAGACACTATGTCCAATAAATAATCATTTTTAATAGTGAGACGGGATTATCAGAGATATAATATTTAAACCTAAATACCAATACTAATACTAATTGGTTGATACATGTAGAACCAATTATCCATGTACATTCCATAAACCAATCGACATACTAAGATCGGCCGATCTTAATTTTAAATTAGTGAATAGTTTCATTCATACTTAACATTTGACTTTAACATATTTTAGATTTTTAACTTAATAATAATAAGATAATTAGTTAATGCAGATAAGAAAACCCCATAAATTCTGAAAAAACTACTGGTCAGGACGCAATCGACTGTAAAATTTCCGCAAAATATGACAGATCAAACAAAATTATATATCTCATATAAGGATATTAGGGAGCCTAAAAAGTCCCAATAATTTTTGTAATAACGATAATCAAAAAAAAAATAAATAATAGAAAAAGAATATTTTTAAACAAATATCTTCATCTACAAATAGAAATGATAATGAATTCAATGATATAATAATGATGAATTAAATGATAATGACGAATTTGTAAAAATGATGATGACATTCAGTTTTTATACTCAAGATTGATCATCTTCATCTCTATCTTCAACCTCAACATACATCAGCATCAACAATTTTAACATCAATCTCAATCCCAATATCCACATCAACATCAACATCAACAAGAAATTGAAGATGGTTCTGTAGAATGTAATTTTGCAAAGTTAAGTTTGGACATAAAAATATTTTTAACACACAAAATTTTCAAAAAAGTGAACCCAATCTGATTTCAATTTTTAATAAAAATTTTTGGCTTAAATTAATTTGTTATATATAATAAATAACATTTTGTTTGGGCCTTTTTAAGACTTAAGTCTAGTCCGGACTTTTCAGGACTGATTAACATCATGAAAATTAATATAATCACCAAATGAACATCTATTGATAACTGGTATATAACCTATGTTTAAAACTAGACGACGATTTATGTTTGATAAGTTAAAAAACGATTTAAAATATAATATATAATTTAAAAATAAAAATCTAAGCGTCATACATAGGTGACAAAGTAAGTTCCAAGCTTTCATTTGATATATCATTAAAATTGGAGGACTTTCATCTACTATGGTGTACGTCATCTATAAACGTCAAAACGATCACTTGACTTTAAAAAGTAAATGATTGCCAACAGCTGCACCAATAAAAATATTTGTTTATAAAATAATTAGAATAATTGAATTAATTAAATGTAAATTTTGTCAATTATGCATGCAATAAAAGTAAATTATGCACAAAAATTTTTTTAAATCATTTTTAATGATGCTTTTTTTAATAAATATTTTATGTTGATCATGTGACAATCATTACTCAACAATTATGTGGCAATTTTGGTTAATGATGAATGCATTTCCAAAAAAAAGAAATGAATTCTTTAATGACGTCACCCCCCACTTTTAATTATATACAACAAATTACAGTAGTATATTACCACACATTCTTATTTCCATTTTCATTGTCATTATAAATTCCTTTATAGGATTAATAAATAAAAAATTTGCCTCTCTGTTTAACCATAACCTCCTACTTATCTACAAAAATATGTTAGAGTTTGTGCCAATTACCTGCCTGAATCCAGATAATCAAATTAATTAAATAGATATAAATCTGGCTGGATACACAAATTTTGATTTGGATGTCTGTCACAGAATCTTTTATATTAATTTAGATATCTGATCCAGATAATAGATAGGGGTAGAGTTCAGATACAAGCTCTAAAATATAGTGTATTTCAAAAAAAAAAAAAAAAGGTATCACAAAAATATCACAAGAATATATGTATGATAAAGTTGGATCAACTTACAAATTTATTTCAATTAACTAATTTAAAAATGTAACAATTTAAGGGATTTAAGGGATTTAAGGGGAATTTAATTTTAAAATCGCGTTCTCAACGTGATTTTATATTTACAACGATTAAAATAAATTGGCCAATAAAAAGTGAGTCAGGAATTTACATGTAGACATACAGTATATAAAATGCTTCTTCGGCTTTGAACTCAATAACTCACAAATTTTATGATAATAAAAAAAGTAAACCGATAGAAATGAATCTTAGGCCTTTAGCTTTAATTCTATTCCTAGTTTGGAAGTTATTGGCTTTCAAAGATCGTTCAATTTTAGTGTCATCTTTAGATGACATGCATCATGGTATTTTAAAGATGTTGTTATTGGTGGCAACAATATAATTGCAAACATGATATATTAAACCTTAATTTTCTCACTGTTCAACAATAAAACAAATATTTTACATCAGATCCTTTGAGGTCAAATTAAATTAATGGCAAACATTTTCATATTGATTTTTCCATTATACCAAAGGAAACTTGAGCTATAAATTTGTTAGGATGTATCAGTTATTTGATGAAGATGTCGATGAAGATGACGGTGATAGTGATTGACCTCAATATTGAATAAGAATCACATCTTTGATTGTTATCTGTTATTAAATCATCTGGAAATTTTGTTAGAATTGATATTTTTGAAGTTACAGTAAAATTTGTTGTTGTTGTTGTTTTTGTTGTTACTGTTAGCGGTGGTAATGTAAGTTGTAAACTTTGATATTAAAAATCTTTAATTTTTCTTTAAAATATTTTATTTATTGATACATAATGGGAAAATATTTTTCCACGAGTAACCTTTTATGCCATAAATGACACCATTTGTATTAGGGGTACTGGATGATTAATTGATTGTTGATTTTTCTAACGATCTAACTTGCAATTTTGTTAAATTAGAGAAAGCAAAAATTCTTTGATCAAAATGATAAAAATCAACGTTAATAAAGATAAATAAAAAAGTCGCTTTACAAACCAATCTACAAATAAATATGTTTGACAAGATATTTGGTTTGATTTTTTACGCATAGGTGACCTTGGGTATTTGGAACAAAGCATTGTAAACTTGTCCATATCAAGATTATTATATTGTTATAGAACATCATGTAAGAGTTTACAGAATGACCAAAATACTTTAAATAGAATCACTGATGAACAATAATATTTAGTATAATTAAACTGCTTGTGGTGCTAATATCATATTTTTATTAGGTTTCCTATTTACAAGCCACATAACTTACCCGATGAAGACAGTCGATACCTACCTATTCCCTATTCATCAGGAAGTTGAAAATGCGCGTTGCCCACATATAAATTAATTACTATTTATAAACATTTAAAGTTGGTATATTTTTACCAATTTCATAATCCCCCCCCCCATAAACAGTTTCACTACGCAGATCTAAAGGTTCTAATAATGTTATATGATTTCCTTTATAGGTAAAATACTCACGCAACACATGCACTACTCCCTGATTTATTTTATTCGAAAAAAGGTTTTTTATAGTTGTGAAAGAAGAAGAAGACATTCTAAGAACTCAATTATAAGAATTTCCCCAAAAAAATTTAGTTTTGTGTATGTATTTTTATTTATTAATATCAGAATCTAAAATATGAGTTAAATGTATTAGTTATGACACATGAAAACCAATAATAATAATATCATAATAATACATAGATTTATTTCTCGATTTCAATTTCCCTAAGCAGGAGAAATAGAAATCGAAATCGAAATCGAAATTAGATTCGAAATAGTAAGAGTAATAGAACTTTGAAATAGAAACTAATCCAAATAAACAGAATTTATCTTTAAGAAATATTGCACTTTTTCCATATCGAAATTTTATTTAGAGGGCTTGGATTGAAAGACCGTCAAACGTTGTATCGAAACTTATAAACACTTTTTTTATTCTTCTTTAAATTATCAAAACATTCTTCTGTATCTCCTAATCTTATTTGTCTTGTTTGAAAGTATCTCATTAAAAGTAGAGTGTTGTAGAATTATTATTATTAGTCATGGTTTATTTTTCCGTCATTCTAAATAAGCAACTTTTTTTTAAATTCACAAATTGTTTTTTATATACATATTAAAACTTCTTCATCTATTATGTTTATTAAGACAGTACAGATAATAGAATAATCAGTGAAACATTCACCAAATAAACTGTTAATGACATACATGTCCCAATGTATCAATTTCCATTGAAGAACGCTTTTGCTTTAACAGTTTACAACATCAAGGCCTAACATTGCCACATGCGACTTTGACAGTAGATGAAAATATGTTTGCACCAGGACAAATCTACGTAGTGATCCTTCTTGGGATTTGTTAAATGTCTTTTCGTTCGATATCCACCGATTTGTACAACATTTTGGTAAGCAAACCAAACAAAAAATAGAATTTTAACATCAAAATTTTTCGTTGGTTTTTCTGGTTTATGTGCTTATATTAATATTAAGCCATATTCGAAATGTAATATTTTCGAATTCCTATTTATTTATACGCATTCTCTCATTATGCCGAGAAACAGATCAAGAACCATATTCGTACGATGGTACCTTAGATCAAATCAACTTGGGTAAATTATAAAGGTGCTTTGATTTATCCACATCATTATAATTTTTTGCATTAAAGTAGTTTTCAGTTCAATTCCTGGAGTTTTGCCTAACTTGCCGTTGAAATTACTGGATTATGGCAATTCGGCATTAGGTATAAATTTTGCACGACACTCTAAAGTCGTAAACCGTAAAATCGTAACGCCATAATTATTTATGACCTATAGATATATATAGTCGTAATAGTAATTATTGAAATATACTGATACTAGTCATCATAATATTTATTTTCATAACGGCTATATATGTAGAGCAAGATTTGTTATAATACATATTTAATTAGGTTACACTCGTTATGACTGTAGCAGTCGCAAGTTTAAGTATTTTTTTTTTTCATAAATTTTGAGTGACACTTGACCCCCTCAAAAGCGACAATGCCCTGCGACTAACAGTAATAGGTTGGCTATTATCAAGAAACTGAAGGGACCTGGTCCTGTGTATGAAATTCAGTCGGCAAAATCGGTGCACTGAATATCAAATATCAATATGTATTTTGTATTTGCGCAATACTAATTAATACCTTAAAACCAGGGTCCCTGAAACTCTTATCACTCATGTGATTTTAACAGCATTTCTTAACATGGAATTTGTAATTTACTTTTTGTGTTCCAATCCCAAAATTATTGGGGTTCAATATTATTATATATATGTATTACAAACATATGAGAAACATCATATCATTATTGCATATTGAGGATTTTTTTGCCGATCATTTCAACGGTAAAACGTATAAAATTCAACTTCATAACTTTTGAAGGAAAGCTTCAAATTAAAGACACACGTTGTTATCATTAAATAAAAATATGGAGAGTTTTTTATATTAACTAAGGCGAAAACCAAGAGCAAATCCTTAACTATTACTAAAAAAAAAATAAAAAAAAGGCTCCATATTTTTATTTTAACGAAAGAATACAACTCAATACGTGTATCTTTAATTTGAAGCTTATAAATCGTTTCCTTCAAAAGTTATGAGGGATTGAATTTTATGAGTTTTACTATAATGCAGACATGTAACTTCAAAACCTCCAAGGCCTTTTTTTATTTTTGCAACCTTAGAATAAAAAAAAAGTCTTTGCGGTTTGAAGTTTCACGATTTTTGAAAGGATCGGCAAAAAATAATGTAATATATACATATATAATATTGGACCCCCAATAAATTATGTTCTTTTTTTTAAAAAAAGATGTTATTTTTACCAGATTACATACCCAAGTATGTTCAATATTTTATATCCATTAGTTCTGTATTAGTTATAGGAGCCTCTACTTTACTATATGCTTTTCAATGTGAATTAATATACCTCGCTAGATTTCCCGAGGGTTCGAGACAATATGTAAGGTTTTTTTGTGTACATTGTTTTGATATTTATTTATTTTAAAGTCGTAAAATTGTTTAATTTTGCAATTATAGGTTGCCAAACCATCTGAGAAGGATATCGATTACGAAGATGTAACCATAACAACAAAAGATAATGTTCGTATCAAATTATATGTTTGTAAATTACGTTCTGATGCTGATAAAAGACCAACAGTTTTAATTTTTCATGTAAGTAGTAAATATTATTATTGCAAGAACAATGGTAAAAAATAATTAATAATGACAATAGTAATAATGATGATAATGATGATGACAACAACAATAATAATTTCTAATTATTTAATTATTCGAAATTAGGCAAATGCAGGAAATATGGGTCATAGATTACCAATTGCTGAAAGATTTTATAAACTGCTTAAATGTAATGTTGTAATGCTTTCTTATAGAGGGTAATTAATAATTATTGAATGACGAATATTTTTACTTTATTATAATGATAACAACCATAGTAATGCTTTTATTTTTAGATATGGATTGAGTGAAGGCAAACCACATGAAAAAGGAATTAGAATAGATTCACAAGTAAAAGATTTATAGATTTAATTTATTTATTATATTATATTAAATATAAAATTAACTGGTAATTTTTGCAGGCTTTATTAGATTATGTATTAAATGATGAAGTATTAAAAAATACTAAACTAATTGCTTATGGTCAATCTCTTGGTGGGGCCGTTTCAATTGATTTAGTTTCAAGAAATGAAGATAAAGTAAATTTTTTTATTTTTCAAAAATATATGTATATATATATATCATTTTCATGGAAAAATTTTTTAAAAATAATATGCTTATATTTTAGTTCAGTGGAATGATATTGGAAAATACATTTCTAAGTATAGTAAGTAAATTCAAACAATTTTTTGTTTCAACTTTTACTTTATCAATCTTTATTAACCCAATTCAATCCACACACACACATACACACACAAATGTACTTGTCTAGCCAAAGTTAATTCCACATGTTCTTCCATATTTGAAATATTTTACATTTTTATGCCATCAAATCTGGAATTCAGAACAAGCAATCACTCAAATAGTCAACACACCGATTTTATTTTTATCAGGCAAATTGGATGAATTAGTTCCATCAATACATATGAAGAAATTATATGAAATAAATTTAACTAGTAGAAGCGTAAAACAATTGAATAGTAATAACATTTCATATAAAGAATTTTCACATGGAACTCATAACGATACTTGCATACAACCATATTATTTTGATTGTATTTTGGAGTTTATAAAGGTTCAAATTTTAAATGAACATTAAATATATTTTATTTAATTTATTAGTTAAATGTATTCTATATATTTTTTTTTGCGTGATTTTTTTGTAAAATAAAAATTTAAAAAATTTTTTTATTTTTTTCCTCCCGATTTCTTAATTCCACCAACAACTAATAACGTAAATAAATATTGATTTAATATAAAGAGTAGAAGTAGTGACAGCTCAATCGATATAATGTATCTACTTACCAAGTAACCCTCCCTTTTGTGCCTTTTCTTTTAATTCCTTTAATTTTTTAGCTTCTTCTTGTTGTTTCTTTTTAAATTCAAGATCACTCTTTTTTCCATTATCATCACATAAATAAAATATACATGCGTGAGTATTATATATTTATGTAATGTTAATAATAATACTATTATGAACATAGTAATTTAATAATCAGTATGTATATGATACTCACCTCATCAACATCATTTGTACTTTTCTTTTTCTCTTTTTTAAGAGGCTTTAATTTACCACCTTTATGATTATAAAAACACTATTATTATTCTATAAAAAATATATAAAAATCTATTATTTATTTACCTTTTCTACCAGACATTTTAATTTTTTTTTTTTCGAATGTTTATTATAAGTATTCTTTTTAATTTTTTTAGAGAAAAATTATTTTTATGTTTTTGAAATAAAAATAAAAAAAAAGAATTTATACGTTGATCTGACCAATAAAATGTTAATTATAATTAATACATGTTTTTTATTGCTTGGACTTTCTTACCCTTGTCAAAGTTTTGTATAAAGAAAAGAATGTGATACAACAAAGGACAAATATAAATTAACATTATTTTACACACATTCCCTTCGTAGTTGATCAAGTCTTGCTTGATTCCATTTCTGTCCCTTTCATCTGTTTTGTTTTTAAATCGTATCATACTTGGACAACAAACTTATTAATAAAACGTTAATTTTAGCATCAATCATAATAATTGACATTAACTTTTGAAAAAAAATGCAATATATTTACAGATTGGTCCAATGTAATTTCGATTTCGTCCAAAGCTTGGTTTATTATCATTTCAATTTCCTCTTCATCATCTTCCTGTACCATCACCACCACATCTTCTTCCATATCCATCATTTCTGATTCTTTTTCAAATTCCATCATAATCTTTTGCATAGCTGATGGATTCATTTGCCTATTCATAAATTTCATTGCTTAAACATATAATGTAAATTCATCAAACAGACAGAATAATAATACGTGTATGTATGCATTTATAAGGTACCATTGTAGCACTTTTCATAGTTTCAGTCGTTTGTTGATTAGATCTTGAAGTTTATATAATATTTATTATTTGGGACATGCTGCAACAAAACCAGACAAAGTGAACATCAGTGTTATCAAAAATTTCAGGGATCAAATTTAGTTATTATCATCACAATTGGTTTTATAATATCCCATTTGTTATCTTAAGTGATATATAGAACTACTATATAAAAATAGTTAATATGAAGTTAATTTACATTAGGTCTACCATGGAACCCAAAAATTACAGCACTATTAGAGGTATTTTAAAAAAGGAACAAGGTGAAAAAATTGCACCTTACATTTTCAAAATAAATGATATTCAGACATAGAGGCCTGCATGGATAACAATAATTGAACCCATATCCAACCCATACCCGCATGATATCAAAATTTTGTACCCATACCCAAACCCATTTCTCAAAATTTTATATCCAAACCCAACCCATACCCAAAAAAAAATTTACAATTTTAACCAAACCCAGAATATACCCATATCTTTTTTATTTAAAAAAATATAAAAAGTACAATAATAAAAATTTTAAATTAAGAATTACTATTGAAAACACTACGTAAAACAAGAATACTATCAACTGTTTCTGGTCTTAAATTTGATAGGGTTTCATTTATTGTTAAACAAGCTGCACTGAACTCCCTTTCACTGGGTGCACTGGAGGCAGGAATTGATAAATAATAAGAACATAATATTGATAGTT